GGGAAAGCATAGATTAGCTGATTGATTGTGACAGGAGGTGGGGCTGTTAAGGGGCGGAGCTAGAGATATTATTCCACTGGTGTGTTTTTACATTCCGTATTAATCATCCGTATGGAAAAGAATGATGTTTGGAGCAGAATGAACTGTAATCGTTTGCATTTATGGTTTCTGACAAGCAAACTAATTTTAATTTCATTAATTTTTTCTTCTTTAAAAGGAGATAGCCTTAGTTCATTTGATTTTTTTTCTATCCTGGCATGCTCATTCACTCATTTGTCCCACTCACGTTGAGCTATTTTAATGATAAATGACCAAAAGACCATATTATATCTCGCTTATACTGCCAACTGCCATCAAAAACAGGTTAAGGGGCAACATTTCCCCTGGTCTCTGGTTTTTAAAAGCTCTCATCCAGCAAAAGGAAACAAGAATTAGCCCATTTCTCTGCATTTTTCAGGTCTGTTTATTTTACTTGAATATTTAGTATTGGTAATCAAGTGGAGGTGATTGCTAATTTGATTTTTTTTCTATCCCGGCATGCTCATTCACTCATTTGTCCCACTCACGTTGAGCTATTTTAATGATAAATTACCAAAAGACCATATTATATCTTGCTTATACTGCCAACTGCCATCAAAAACAGGTTAAGGGGCAACATTTCCCCTGATCTCTGGTTTTTAAAAGCTCTCATCCAGCAAAAGGAAACAAGAATTAGCCCATTTCTCTGCATTTTTCAGGTCTGTTTATTTTACTTGAATATTTAGTATTGGTAATCAAGTGGAGGTGATTGCTAACAGGATAAGGAATTTGAAACCACAATCTGACGGATGTACCCCATGCCTGATATCTATATCAATGATAGCACAACTTCTACTTTAGGTCTGTATCTGTAATGCTGAATATAAAACATGAAACTCTTTCTTAGTAGCTATTTAAAGAAGAAAAAAGACCAAAAAAAAAAAAAATCTGTATTGTTTTGTGTTGTAGTGTGGGCTTCATCTGGGGGAAGGGGGTTCTTTTTTTTAGATTTGACATTTAAGACATAAACAATCTGGAATTAGAATAAGATAATATTAAAATAGATGAACTATATATTATATTAGGCAAATAAGAGAATTTTCTTCCAGGGGTTGTCAACATTTTAAAGGGGTCTATAACTAATAAACAAGATGCATTGGGGTAGGACTCAAACATGACAAATGAATCAAAGCGTTTAAAACGCTTCACAAATTAAAAGGATTCTAATAGGGGACTACAAATAATGTATGTGCTTTTCTGTTTTTCTTTGTGTGAGTGTATGAATACATTTTCTTTTGTCTTGGCACTAATGTATGTTTTGTTCAAAACTGTGTGGGTCGAGAGGGCCGGTGGCAGTAGTTTTGTCACACCAGCCTGTTAAAGATGCTGCGTCTTCTTTATTGGGAGGGAACCAATGAAGACACAGAACTTTACCGGCTTAAAAGCCACAGTGGTTTCTCCATTACTCATGTCATACAGTTATTTAGTCTTCAGTTGTTTAAGCAGAAATTAGTTAAGGCTTCACAGTGGTGCTCTGTGGCACAGCTTCATTGTGCTTAGTCAGGAGAGGGTGATTTTTTTTTTCTATAATTTAAATAATACTGGAAAATGAACCCTGCCTTACTAAAGGTTAGCGTGTCAAGAGTTTTTTTTTTTTTTTTTCCAGAAAGCTTGTACAGACTGGGATATCAACTTCAGTTGGTTGCTATTAGTTCAGAGATGTTTTGAATGAAAACGTATGGGATTTTACACGAGTTTGATTCTTTGAAGGTTTTTGGTACTGAATAAAGAGTATAAACAAGTGGAATTTAAGGGGGCTGATCCCATAGAGCTTCATGGAGGTCTAGAAATGCATCGAACCAAGAGCCAAGTTGCTGTATTAATAACAGTTTGTGTTTCATTTGTTTATTTATTTGATTTACGGAGGTTCGTTTTCGTGAGAGGTTGAGGATTAGCATTACCCCTGTTTGTCTGGCCTCTTTGGAGGGACTAGGCTGGAGGATCATGGGTAATGTGGTCTTCACAGTTTTATTTTATGTTGTTGTTATTTTATTTCATTTTTTCAATTTATTTGTGTCATAAGTTATAGTGGACTACATATTAAACAGAACGAAGTACATTGTAACAGGGAACCTTTTGGCAACCAGACATACATGAAATCAATTGTAGAGTAAATCTGTCAATGTCTATTATATGGATGAACTTCTTGGGAAAAAAAAAATTATATATATATATTGCAAAAAAAAAAGA